CTTTTCAGGCTCCTGATCCCCCTCAAATTTTAGGTATGCTTCATTTATATTTTACTCATCTGGATTTTCCCACACAGATTATATATTTAACTTTTTCATATATTATTAGTAATGTTTTAATATAAATTTGAAATGCATTTTATTTTCTCCTCTCTTTAACCTTTTCTTGATATGTAAAGCACGGTGATCACCAACAGGACTATCGTAAAGTGCCATGTAGATAAACATTGATTGAATTACACTTAGACTGTCTTAAAGCCCTTTGTTTCTGCTATTTATGAGGGTTTTTACTTAAATCTAATAAAAACTCAACATTTGAGATTAGAATATTACATCAAACCAACACAAAAAAGCATAATCAAAACATGTACATGATTTAAAAGTGAAAATTTTCAGCAGATGGCCTTAAGTTTCCTTGTCTTTTATACCTCTGCTCTGCAGTGCAGTCCAGTGGTTAAAAAAACTCTTTCCAGCACTTTGTTCCATATTCAGCCTAACGTTTAACTTACTATTTTTGGAAGCAATTAAGGCAGCTGACTGCCTATGACTTATTGCAGAACCACATATTACGCCCATTTTTAAAAGGTTTGTATTTTCTTAGCATGATCCATATTTAGTGCTCTACTAACCATATTTACAAGCTGTGGTCTCTTTATTCTGCATGTGGATTTAAAAAAACAAACAAAAAAAACATTATATTATAGAAAATGTACCTTAGGGGCAGTTTCTAGAATTCTATGATTTTTTTTTCCAGCTGAATGGCTTTCACACTCGCTCATCTTAACTTTTATCCCATGCAAAGATGAGAAGGGAGCCTTGCTGGCCATTTAACAGAGAAATCCAGGTTTCACAGCTAGGTCATTGAGAAAAAAGTGGGACACCATTCTGGCTCCTGAGAATCGGCCCTCTGCAGTGTGATATGGTGAGGTCGAATTTGCAGAACATACTGTAGCTCTGCAGTGACTAAATAAGGTGAAACCAAAAAGTTTTACTTGTTTACATTCATGTTTAAATAGGTGTTTAGTTCTTTCTTTAAATAAGCTGGGACCTCTTTGCTCTTGTCTTTTTTGCTATCAAAGCAGCGTGTTAAGCAGGTCAAACTTGTGCTTGACATTATTGTACCCTGGCCATAAAAACTGACATGAGACGAGGTAAGATATCACAGCTTAGAAGCTGGACAGCCAACCCAAGCAGGGGTTAGTCACAGGATACCGCCCCGAGAAGTCCTGAAGATCATCTGATGGGCCTAAAGAAAAACACATGCCCTCACACAAAATATAGAAAATAATAGGCTCCCTATCACCAAGTCTTACATTTCCACAAACTTTTCTATCAAAACTATAATAAACTTTGTGTCTGAATCCTCCTGTGTGATGATTGTGCACTGTACAGCAATCAGTTTCACCCTTTGTTTTCTCATGAGTCATTATGTATCATTGCCAAAGGTGGTTATGAAGTACCATTGAAGGGTTACTTGTTTTTTTTACTGTTCTTTTTAAATTGTGCTTGAATTCTCGGACCTGATGTTTATTATAGTCAAATATAAGAAATATGTAAATAAGAGTTTTTGGCTGATATTGGTGATTTCTTTTAGTATATCGGAAGCAGCCGATACCATCCATGCATGCTCCGATTCATTAGTGCATTCAGCAGCCATGCTTTGAGATCTCCTGAAGCCAATGCAGTGCCACTCCCTTCATTTGCTGTCCATTGTTTATGTTTGGTTTGATTTGCTAATAAAATTTAGGTTATTGTTTTAATTAAGACTTGTGTGACATTGGTTGTCAATGTGTCATTTTTATCATGTACATTGAGAAAGAGAAGGAAAATTCAAGAATTGTCCCAGAAGATCCACAACACATATCCGGGAACAGTTAATTTCAAGATGATCACCATTGGCATTGGCCATCTCAAAGTTTAAAGAAAAGCAGTTGCTTTGAGAAAGGCAAAATTTTATTGATATTTGGTTGATCGGCTGTCCATCTATGCATTTTTTTTATGTTTTTTTTTTTTAAACTTGTAGGGTTGTACCATCTCTATCTCCTAAGCTCAAAGTAAATGTTTCTCTCCTAAAATAATCATGATTTCTCATCTTTTTACTCTGCAGATTTCTTCAGCTTAAATNTGTTTATTATAGTCAAATATAAGAAATATGTAAATAGGAGTGATTTCTAGAGAGACCTCAGCGGCCAATATTTTTGGCTGATATTGGTGATTTCTTCTAGTATATCGGAACCATACATGCATGCTCCGATTCATTAGTGCTGATTCATTAGTGCCATGCTTTGAGATCTCCTGAAGCCAATGCAGTGCCACTCCCTTCATTCGCTGTCCATTGTTTATGTTTGGTTTGATTTGCTAATAAAAGTTACATTATTGTTTAAATTAAGACTTGTGTAACATTGGTTGTTAATGTGTCATTATTATCATGTAAATTGAGAAAGAGAAGGCCAATTCAAGAATTGTACCAGAAGATCCACAACGGTATATCCGGGAACAGTTTTGGCATTGGCCATCTCAAAGTTTTAAGTAAAACAGTTGCTTTGAGAAAGGCAAAATTTAATTGATATTTGGTTGACGTCTGTCCATTTATGCATTTTTTTTTTACACTTGCAGGGTTGCACCATCTCTATCTCCTAAGCTCAAAGTAAATGTTTCTCTCCTAAAATAATCATGATTTCTCATCTTTTTACTCTGCAGATTTCTTCAGCTTAAATCTGGAGATATGTGTTTAAAACACGGTTCCTATGAGATCTTTAAGTTCTTGAAAGTTTGTAAATTTGATAAGACAAAAACAAACAAGTTTGAGGTTCTGGAAAGTTCTTGCAAATGACCATAACAACAGACACCTGCCTTGAAATGGTTTAATTTGGGGGGTTAAATTTCACAAAATGACAGATTTGGTTTGTTATTCCCTGCATTCTTGTTTCCTCTGTGTAGTCAGCATAGATGGCTTGTGCTTGTTGTTTATTTTTTGATTGTGTGCATTGATGACTGAAAGACATCTTCTGCCTCCATTTATCTGTTTACTATAGTGTGTTGAATTCATGTTAATGTTTATTTAAATACATTTCAATTAGTGAAAAAAATTGCAGGCGGGAATATAAACAGAAGTCTAATCGACCAAAACTTCCGCGACCCCCATGCATTACCTCCGTGGACCCCCTAGGGGTCGCGGTCCCCCTCTTAAAGATCTCCGCTTTATCAACACGATCAGAAAAAGGTTGGGATTAAAAACAGCTTTCTATAAACCAAATGGTAGTTTTTAAACCATTTACTGTACGTCAGACGTGGTTTTCATACCTAAATATGGTAGGGGGAATCCTCAATAATAGTCCAGTCTCCCTTAAAGGCACAGGGGCTCAGGTTACTAAAACCCTAATCAATAAGTCAGCCTCTCTCCAGGGAACAACAGCCTGAACATGCTCATGTATAATGGATCTCCTGTTTTCCTTTGTTGCGTTTTCCCCAGATGAATGCTCTTTTCCCTTGAACCATATAGTACAAGCCTGTAATGGTCATTCTGACCACATCCTGTTGGAAACACAAACCCCTCATTGTGTGGGTTTTAAAAACATATATTTTCCAATGAGATAACCCCTATGTCTTTAGCCTTCTGCATACCTCCTACATATATCCATATTATGTCAAGTCTTGGTAAGTTCCTCCAATTTGGGCGAATTAGATAAGAGCGGCTGTTCTTTCTCCTCCCTTGTGCAGGAAGTGGTTCAATGGGGGGTGACTTATTACAGTGGCTCTATGTTTGTGTATTTTGGACCAGCAGAAATGCCACCGGAAGCTGCTATTGCCTTATAAGTATGTTACTGACGTAAATGTGTTCTGTAGTCTGTAGCGCTGCATTTACCTTTGTGCTCTCCTATCAGATCCAAACCTGGTTAACTGTTGAGCAATAATAATTTTAGGACATTGAAATTATATGGATTAATTGATTGAGATAGATTTTTACTTCCAGGTCGAATAAATGTTTAATCCCCTAAGAATGACAGTACTGTTACCTCAATGGGATGCTAGAGGCGGGGCTTATTGTCGAGCTTTAAGGTTAGGTAAAATTAAGTCACTCTCTTTATCTCTAAATCTTCTAAAGAAGAGGCTTTAGTGTTTTAAAACATGTCAGTAATTGTCTTTTGATTGTATATTTTTAGTTTTACTCTACTTTAAACACAGAATAATTTAATTTATCTGTCGATCAGAAATTGTTGACATTCTTAAAAATATGCTTTGCTGAGCAGACATGCTACACCCAATTCCCCACATGGCTAGAGTCATTGGAAACTAGATACTCTAGCCTTTCCAACAAGGTACTTCTTTGTGTGATTTGTCCTGGTGACATCATTTCTGTGCGTATCAAAGAATATTAAATACCTGATCATGGCTGCTTTGCACACATGTTGCTTCAGGTGAGAAGCAGACGCAGTCGGTTTGTTTTGGTTTGTTTCTTTGGCTGTGCGGATTTTTAGTCATCACCTCTCTTCACGATGGCACAGAAGAGAGAACTAACCCTCTAGGAGGCCTTGAAAGAAATGATCAGGGACAGTGATGCAGAGATAGGCTTCTAAGAAGCAGCAAAAGCAAATTCTAGAGGCAGTTGATGAGGAAGTCATACACTTGCTTTTTATTGACTGCAGTTAATTAGTCAGGAATAACAGTCTTTTTATGGAATTTTATGCTATTTGTTTTAGCTCAACTGTACTGAAATGGGCACAAATCTGCCAAATGTATTTTTTAAATACATTTTTCATGTTTATTATTTACATTTTATAGCTTTGGAGCTTTACTTGATTTATATCAGATTAGTGATTTAATGTGAGCCTCCTGGCTAAAGAGTTAAAAGCTTTCACACATATAGATGCTCATACTTTATTGTATTTAAGCTGATCATTGGCTCATCTTTGGAAAAGGTCCTTAATTAATATATGTAGTCAATACAATTAGTAGGTTTGTTAAGATTGATCCTCTATACTGTCGTTCCACCCTAACAGACAGCCATGCTTAAACCGGGCACCACCAAGGCGGGGCTGCCCAGGCCGGGTCTGCAGGTGAGGCAGACCTCCTTGACGTCCCCTACCTCCACCTCTGCAGCCTTGAAGACCTCCAGATCTTCCAACACGATGGCTTCAGACCAGCGCCTCAGCAGGGTGAGTAACATGCACATTGCTGTTTGTTTGCTAACCTGGACATAGAATATGATCATTAAATCTGAAGAGTATTGCTAATTCCCCCATGTTCAATCTTTATTTTTAATTTCTTTTAAAGTCTTTACAAATCTAAAACAGTGATGGGATGTGAGCATTGGACGCTAAAGACAAATCCCTTGTTAGTGCTCACTCTGCAAATGAAGAGGGTCCCAATTCTAATGATGGTTGAGCTTTTTCACATTTTGATGATTTTTTTGATGCTGTGGGATTTTATCTAATAGACTAACACTAATTTAGTGTGTAATTGTTAGATGGAGGAAACGTTTTCCATCTTAATGTATGCTGTGCGTTTATATTCACCCTTCTTGAGTTAAAGCTCTGACCAGAGCTCATCCCTCCACATTTCAGCAGTGTGTCTTGTAGCACCTGTGGTAGACTGCAGACCTCTTACGGCCTTGCTGTGATCACTGCTTTCTTTGCTCTTTCAGTTTAGATGGACGACCATGTCTTGCTTGTTTTGTCAAATCCCTTTTTTATTTTTGATGTTCTTTTTTTCCCCTGGTTTCTATTTCACTGCAACTTTCCTCCGGACCTGTCTGCTGTGTTCCTCAGTTTTCATGATACAAAGCTCTGATGCCTTCACAGTATGATTTATACTGATATTCTTTACCTAAGAGGTTGAACCCATTCACTGAATAGGGGAAGTTGGTTGCACTGGATTTAATTTAGGGGAATCGTACTAAAAACGGGGCTAAAACAAAGGCTCTTCACTCTTTTATAATTTTTTTAATAGGTGTTTATAACTTGAAGTTGTTGATGAAATGTGAAAATGTTTACGAGGTATGAATAATGTTTTTGCTACGTAATATCTCTAACCCAAGATGTGTTTATAGCTGAAACGAGCCAGCAGCGATGATGCCTTGACAAAGCCTGCTATTGGAGCAGCAGCTGCCAGCTCCCGCATGAAGAAGACCATCACTACTGGAGGGATTTCTGATCTGGCAGAGGCCCGTCCTCGCAGCCTTTCAGGTAGGCGACCACAAATTCTTGCACTGCACTGATGGTGTAATAACTCCCTGCCACCGCTAGATGGCCTCAGCGTTCCACTAAAGCTTTATTTGGAGCTCAGGCTGAAGTGATAACAGGCAGTCTAAAAGCTGAGTCCATTCATTTAGTTTCACTGTTCTTTTGGTTTGTCCTTTTTAAAGGGATCTAATAGTGAAATAAGGAAACAGGTTAAAGTTAAGAAGCTCTTTCTTCTCTTTATCCTTAGATGTTGGTTTAGGGTAACTTGTTTATATCTCAATTATGTGCCATGGATTATAGATTGATCTTGTTTTCTTATTTATTCATTTTTTTTTCCTGCACAGAGTCTTTATGCCTCTTATCTACTTTCTGGTTGTTCAGATTTTTTTGCGTTCATAAAAACCCATCATTATGTCATGATCAGCGGTGATTTGAAACATGCAATACATACATTGGCATATCACTTTATGGGAGGAGCTAAAATGATTAAGAGATCCGGTTTAAGAAACTAGAAATAAAAATGTAATTTGGAAACGTTGTTAAAGTTCAGGATCCATTTGCAGGACTTTGATGATGTGAACAGCCTTTTTTCCTAAAAACCAGACATCTTTGTTTATGTGGCTGATTCCGACAGCGTGTTGATGCTCCTCTGCTGTGATTTCCTTCTTCAAAGGGGTCTCGCTCATCCTCTATAGCAGAAAGACTCTGGAGAAGCAGAGAAATCAAAGCATTCTGCTCTTTGTCCATTTAAACATAATTAGAACATGATCAGCTTTCACTGCATTGTGCTCTAATTAACAGGTTGGGCTTTTCACACCCGAGGAGAAGAAGAATTTCGCATTTTGCAATTCCTGATAAATAATTAAAGTTGGTATTCTCAATTGACCTAGATTTGCAGGAAACTGTTAGTAGTCGATGAGAATTTAGGCTTTAAACCATCCTGAGTCCTTATATCATGGAGCTATAAAGGATTTACTCTCTATTTAGGATCTTTTTACACTTGATTGGCTTTTATTAGATTATCTAACTCTAAGAACAATTATAAGGCACGTTTAAAAAATAATTTCTGCTTTCCCTGTAACATCCCTCAGGCCAGCAGCCTTGTTTGCTCCCTGATGTGGAAACTCAGTGAAAAGTCTCCTTTGTGCATCTTGACATATAAAACCAGACGGTGAGTGGATATGTCAAGTCACTTTCAAAAAGCAAGCTAGTTCGTGTGTGGAAAATGCGATGTGACACCTGAAAGGGTGGCGCTGGTTAACCATGTGTGTAAGCTTCCACAGTCTTTATGCAGCCCTAAATACCAAATCTGGACTCTGACTTCATGGCTGTTAGATATCCTTAAAAAATAAATAAAACGATTTGAATATAGAGTAGGGTGATAACCTGTGATATTTTACTAGCCTTTGAAATGTGCTACTTTGAAAAGTCTTCAATGTTAGCATTGACTGATGTTTGGTTTAAAATATCTTTAAAAGGTTTTAAATCCTGATGTTTTCAGACTTCTTTACTGATGAAGCAAAATATGTTCTGTGTTGCATTGCTTTCAGGGCTCTGAGCATCTTTGCCTTAAAGAAACACTCAATGAGTATCGCTGTGTTTTATATTAAGTGTCTTTCTTTGAAAAAAAATGTTTTTTGTTTTAAATGTTGTTTTCAAAATTCTCAGCAAATAACGACCTCTATAGCAGTTTCTGCAACTTTTGAAATCCAAGGAACCATTTTTCCTCAAGTTCAGGAACGTAAACGAGGTTTAGAGCCACAAATTTCACACAAACTTTTGATAAAACACAATTTACTAATTAAGTCAAATATCTGCTATAGGAAATCTGTTGTCATTTCTTTCTATTTGTAGGTTTAGAAATGAGGAAAATACTAAATTGCATTGATTTTTGTCTATTGGATGTTAATGTTTGTGGAAAATTATGTAAAAAAAAATAATACATTTTCCAAAGTAAGACAAAAAAAAAAAAAATTTTTAACAACATATGACTAGTATTGATTATTTCAATTCATTCTTTTGGGGAATTTTAAACCAACTGAAATTCATTTAAAAAAGCTAAAGCCATGAAAAGCAGAATATGTTGTTATACACTGCCTGGCCAAAAAAAAAGTCGCCACCTGGATTCAACTAAGCAAATAGGTATGAGCCTCCTATTGGATAATTACTGCATGGGCGATTATCTTTCAGCTGACAAGTTATTTAACCCCAACTGGTGCAATGACTTGCTTCTCATTTTCTAAACAACCATGTAGAAAGACACATCCCGTGGTCGTGGAAAAGATGTTAGTCTGTTTGAGAAGGGTCAAATCATTGGCATGCATCAAGCAGAGAAAACATCTAAAGAGATTGCAGAAACTACAAAAATTGGGTTAATAACTGTCCAACGCATTATTAAAAACTGGAAGGATAGTGGGGACCCATCATCTTCAAGGAAGAAATGTGGCTGGAAAAAAATCCTGAATAAATCTTTTGACATTGCAGAAGCTTATCGAAACAATGACACAGCGAATGCGTGCCGTAATCAAAGCTAAAGGCGGTCCAACAAAGTATTAGAGTGAGTGACCTCTTTTTTGGTGCTGACTTTTTTTTTGGCCAGGCAGTGTATTTAAAAGGTTTGGTTGGTTCTTTATAATTTTAGCCACTATTGGGAGCAATTCAGGGATCCAAAGAGCCACTTTTGGCTCTGGAGCCGCAGGTTGCAGACCCCTGATCTATAGCGTGATCAGTATATTTACTTGAACATTTTAAATCCCATGTCCTGTATTTTGATTTTTTTTTTTTGTCTCTAGAGGTAAAATATAACGAAAATTATATAATTGCAGCCCCAACTGCCTGATATTATATAAAATCTAACTGAAAAATGTAGAGGTTTGTGACTTTAACATAAAAAAATACATTTGCTAAATGAACTATTTTGCACAGCTCACTATTTTTATTAATAATATTTTCTTTTTGCATGAAAATATGAGCCCTGATTCCTCCCACAGAGTTGTTTTTTTAGATTATACTTTTACTGTAGGGTTTAATGTTTGTAGAAAAAAAAAAGACGAACAAAACAAAAAACATCTAAATACCTCTGGCTGCTTAGATGCATGCACACACACTCTGAAAGCCCCTGGCCTCCCATCGGCCCCCTCCCTCCCTTACCCTCACAGCAGGATTCACTAATGAGTCAAAAACTGTTATTTTTGCTAATGGGGTGTTGTTCCAGTTCCATCTGGCACTCTACCAACTCTGCCAGACAAAGAGTTAAAATCCAACCCAATAGTGATGACTTATTTAAAGCTCTTCATCAATAATTCAGGAAGGCTTTCACTCAGGGAGGGGTCCCCGAGGAGCAACAGAAGAGAAGAAAAGTTCCCTGATCTATAAATGAAAAGCTTCTTTGGTATGCCTGCAGGGCATAACTGGATAAATGTGTTCTTCATTGATGGGTGCTTTATTTCACTGTTGTTCAATTGATCCCCTCGCGCTGATCATTGGTGTTTGTGTAATCTGAACAATAGGACCCTCGCTGATTCATTTGTGCCTGATCTATTCCACTCACTGAACTAGATTTTTCTCTTAGATGGATCTCCATTCAGCGCTGTATATGCATGCTGTTGGGATTCAGCATGAGGTATACACGTAGTTTCATATTTTTTGCAGTCTGTTTGAGGTTATAGGTTATATACATCTTCTACTTAAAGATTAAATATTTCATGCATTTCATTTAATGTTAAAGAGCCCCAAAATCCAGTGATTCATAAAGTAAAAGATCAAATAACACAAAATAAGCATGTTTAAAGTATACATGTCATGCAGCAGCCATGTTCTGGCCCAGATGGTAACGACGGGAAAAGTCCTGACTGGACAGATGTCTAGAGGACAGTCATTCACACACATACCACAAGAACAAGCCACAAAGTCACAGCTAGAGAAGCTGGTTGTTTAGAGTGTTTTATTCAAGGACATTTGTAGAAAGCTAAATGGAAAGATAGAACAGAAGGGGGTAGGAAGCATGCACCGGTAATGATTTTAGCTACTGCCTTGAGAGGACTGTCTGAAAAAGAAGGAATTTGATGTAGCTTCATAGACTGAAGCTGCATTCAAGAGCCAATAGACACACATGGATCCAACAGATGTTAATACAATCGATTGACATGTGTGATTGTCCTGCAAAGAAATCTGAAAACGTTAATGTCTTTTTTTTTATCTATGTTGTATTTTCATTGATTGTATAAATCGGTGAACTATAAAGTGCCTTGAGACGACATGTGTTGTAAATTTGCGCTATATAAAAAAACTGATTTGAATTGATTTCAGGAGACTTTCTTGTATGGGCGTCCTGATATAGCTGTTTAACTTCTGACACCAATATTTCAGCTTTGAGTATTGACCGATACCGATATTCTCTTGATACGCTATCAGCAAGAAACACACATACTGCTGATATCAATTTTATAGTGCGGGATGTTAGAAAAGGCTTTATCTAATGGTATTGATAGAGGAAAAAAAGGTATGAGAAAAACACACCCTTTTATCATTAAAGGATCATTATTAAATTACCATTAGGTGACATTTGTACAGAAGCAGATAAAAGTAAAGTGCCTCTATTTGCTTGAGATTTTAGATGCAGGCTGATATATTCGTATTTTATTTTTTTTGTCTGACATTGAATGATTTCTGATGTTAATATTGAATCTGGACATCCCTACTCTGCTCTTGTTTAGTATATCAGTCTAAAAAAAAGACCAAGAAAAGTTTTTGGCTAGATCTAAGATTGTAAGACACGGGTAGATGGACATTTTTTGAACAGTCCTCCTTCAGTGTACCAAATACTTTGTATATCTTATAAGGTTAATTTAAGCTAGTTTGGTAAAGTTTTTTTTTAAATTAGGATAACAAAGTAAACCATCCATTTTCAGGAAGCTTCCTGTTTGGATCCCAAAACACTCTTCAGATGTAATTATGGCATCAATAAAGATATTGTCATGTTTCATTTACTCTTAATCCATGTA